CTAGCCTCACAGGTTTCTGGTCCCATTTTTCTGTTCACATCCGACTTCTGGTATCATGGACCTGTTCTCTTTAAGTTGAAGGTAGTCAGAGCATTCCTTGTGTCAGCAAGTAGATTTCCATAGTTGTCTGACTCTAAGAGAAGCCCAAGTCTCCCCAGCTACCCAGGACAGCTGTTCTCTGCACCACAAGTGTGAGTCTTGGCCCGGCTGTGGTCAGCCAACAAGCCCAGTCCCTCGTTTTTTTCATAGATGGCTTAACAACGTCAGCCAGTTCTCACCAAGGGGCTGTGGACCACATGAGCACGCACTTCAAATTATCAGCCTTGGCAGACCTTGGAGCCCATGAGGGACTTAGCACTGGAGCTTCTAGAAGGTTCTTTTTCAGCACTGAGCCCCATTCCATTCTGAAAGCCCCAAGTGCCTCTTATGTACCAGGCTCTGTGTTGGGTGTTGGGGATACACCCTGAAACAGTCAAGGCCCCTGTTCTTTTCCAAGCGTCTTCACCTTGACTTGCCCCAACCAGCATCACCTTTTCCACTGTGCTTTAAAGCCCGTGCCCCGTGAGAAATGAGCTCCCTTTTGGTTGTAGTCTCTTCACAGAATGCTCCTTCTACCTGTTGGCTGATGCTGGACTATGTCTTTCCTTTTTAGTCCTACGCATAGGTTTCTCAGCTTTGACATGCTGTTGCCATAACAACTTACCCACAAATTTAGTGGTTTCCAGTAACCCAAATTCCAAAACAAAACCCAAAATTTATTATTTTGCAGTTCTGTGGCATGGAAGTCCAACAGGGGCACCCCCTGGGCTAAAATCAAAGTGTCAGCAGGGCTGCCTTCCTTTCTAGGGGTTCCAGGGAAGAATTTTTTTTTTTTTTACTATTTTATTGTATTTTTCATCAAATTATTCACAGCAGAATCCAAGTTCTAAGATGAAAATTAAGGACAAAGTCATTTTTAAAAATATTTAATTGTATTTTTGTTGAAAATATACACAGCCAAACACTCCCATTCAACAATTTCTACACGTGTTGTTCCATGGCAGTGGTTCCATTCCTCATGTGTGTCAACATTCTCATTATTTCTATTCTAGTTGTTTCACTCCCATTGACTGACTTAGTCTCACTGTCCCTTGTCTAGTTCTCTAGTGCTGCTATTACAGAAATACCACAAAGGGGTGGCTTTAACAAACAGGAATTTATTCTCTCATAGTCTAGGAAGCTAGAAGTCCAAACTCAGAGAACTGGCATTAGGGAAAGGCTTGTTCTCTCAGCTCTGGAGGAAGGTCCTTTTCTTTTCAACGTCTGATTTCTGGTCCCTTGGAGGTCTCCATGTGACTTGGTAACCATCTTACCTCAGCTTTCTCTGTGCTCGCTTAATTTCTTTCATATATCTCAAAAGAGATTGTCTCAAGATGTACCCTACACTGATCCTGTCTCATTAACCTAACAAAGGCGACCCATTTCCAAATGGGATTATAACCACCAGCATGTTGTTCTTGTTCTGAGTCGGATCCAGTTTATAGTGACCCTGTGTACAACAGAATGCATTTTTGCTATGCTTGAGCCCATTGTTGCTGTCAATCCATCCTGTTGAGGATCTTCCTCTTTTTTACTGACCGCCTACTTTATCAAGCATGAGAATGCTTCCCTAGGGACTGGCCCCTCTTGATGACATGTCCAAAGTTAGAAGAGTAGAAGTCTGGCCATTCTCACTTCCAAGGAGCATTCTGGCTGCACTTCTTCCAGGACAGATTTGTTCATTCTTCTGGCAGTCTATATCATATTCAGTATTTTTCCCCAATACCACAATTCAAAGGCAACAATTCTTCTGTGGTCTTCCTTATTCATTTTCCAGTTTTTGCATGCATATGAGGTTATTGAAAACACCATGGCCTGGGTCAGGCTGCAGAACTTTAAAAGAAGTTTTGAATCATTGATGTAGAGCTACATTGTCCAATACGGTAGCCACTAGCCTCATGTGGCAAGTTCAGTGGAAATATTGAGATGAAATAAAATGAAAAATTCAGTTCTACAGTCAAAGTAGCCACATTTCAAGTGCTCAATAGCCACCAGTGGCTACCATATTGGACAATGCAGGTCTAGAACCATTTCCATCATCACAGAAAGGTCGGTATATTGGACAACACGGAATTCTAGAGTATGCCTTACGTTTACCCAGTACCTAGTGCATAGTAAGCTCACCAGTGTTTGTTAAATGGCTGTACACAACCCCTTCCTGAGACAGTATGGGCGTTTTCTCCCAGGGTTTCTGTTTCTTCTGCTTCACCTGTGAATTCCTCCTTGTCAAAATTAGAGAATAACATTCTTCTTACTTCCTCAGCTGTTTGCAAAATCAGAGTGTTGGCAGCTCAAGTCAAGGACTGAATGCATATAAAGGAAAGTCTGTGAAGAAAGCAGTCTCACCCAGCAGGGTAGTTTGTAGTAGAACTTTTATAAGGTATTTTTTTCAGTTCCCTTCTTGTTTATTCTCACCCTGTACTCAGCATGTAGTCCCTGTTGTTGTTGTTGTTATTTGCCGTCGAGTCGGCCCCGACTCATAGCGACCCCTCCTTGGGTTTCTGAGGCAGTATCACTATGGAAGTAGGATTGCCTAACCTTCCTTCTGAGGAGTGGCTGGTGGATTTGAACTGCCAGCCTTCTGGTTAGCAGTCAAGTGCCTTAGGCACTATGCTACCAGAGCTCCCTAGGTGGTGCAAAGGGTTAAAGCTCAGCTGCTAACCAAAAGGTTGGAGGTTCCAGTCCAGCCAGACAGGCTCAGAAGAAAGGCCTGGTGATCTGCTTCCCAAAAACTCAGCCATTGGAAACCCCATGGAGTTCTACTTTGACATTTGTGGGGTTCCTGTGAGTCAGAATTAACTTGGCAGTGGCAGTTTGCTTGTCTGTTTGGTACTTAACACTGTACTTCTGTCGTATTATGCACTTTCCTGTAGGGTATGTATATTGTCAGGAGGGGAGAGTGGGGTAATCTTCCTTATGTGTAAATTTTCTGCTTCTGAAATGTGTGTGTGTGGGGGTGTATCTTCCTTACATATTTTTTATGCTGTTCTTAAAATGTTTGTGCCGAAGAAAGCAAGCCCTTCCCTTGCCAAACTCCAGCAATGAAACCTATTCCAGCAAAAATGAATGATAGCATTTTTGACTGTGTTGAGATTGTATGTTGCCTGCCCTCTTCCTTTCCTTCCCCCTGAGAATCATGGCTAATTCTCTTAGTTTTGCCTAGCTTTTGTATCATTCCTATGTGTCTTTGTTATGCAGTTTTTCTGCTTGGGCCTTTTTCTAATCTTTTCCTCAAAGCAGAAGTTGGCAAACTTCATCTGCAAAGGACCAGACGGTGAATATTCCAGACGTTGCAGGCCACGCATCCTCTCCTGCAGCTGCTCCGCTCCACCGTGGGAGCAGGAGAGCAACCACAGACAACAGTCACAGCATGGCTGAGGCCAGGCTTGGCTGGCAGGCTGCAGCCCACTGATCCCTGCCCCATATAACAGTGTAACTCCTGCTTTATCCTGTCACAAGCCTCTCAGATCTGCCTTTTTCCTGTCAAGTCCTAGCCTTCCAATTCTAGAGTTGAAAGTGCCAGCTGTGCCCTGCTTTCCATTTGCAAGGGTTTAAGTCCATAGGGAATATATTTCCAGTTTCTTCTGACTTTATAGGATGTTCAATGGGAATCAGCAGAAGGGGGGGGGTCAGGGTGACTGGTTGCATCTTGGGCTCCCTAACATACCTCAGATCTGTGTTCCAGGAGACTACTCATTCCCAGGGAGCCGGATTTGCAGCCTGCATTGAGGAATTCCCTGTGACCACGTCCCCTGGGTGCAAGTGCTATTCTAGCTAACATTCCTGGGGGCTTTCTGCGAGCCACACGCTGTGCTGCGTCTTTCTCTACAGTAGAGTGTGTGATACTCTAAGCACACCAGAAGGTTGCTATGGTTAATCCCTCTGTTTTACAGACATTGGGACATCAAGGACCTTGCCTGTGGTCACATTGCTATTACGTGGCAGAGCTAGACTTGAGCCTTGTGCTAAAAATGCCTACAGACCAACATCCATGTCTCCACGTAGCCCTCCATCCACCCATCCATCTGTTATCTGTGACAAAAGCTTCAGAATCACTGATTTTTATACACACACACACACACCTTTTCTTAGTTTTATATTTTTAGGCAACTTGTCAACATTAATTTCAAGACCTCTTTATGCTTTGGAAAATCTTCCTTCTTAGATTATTATGTCTTCTCTAGAATTCTTTATCTTCTGTTACATCTTTTAGAATAGAATTGCATATTGCATATCTTCTGTTTTTTCTAGAATACAAAAATATTTCCTGTAAACGGGTGCATGAAGAAGCATCTCATAAGCTCTTGCATTTGCTGAAGCTTGGATTTGTAGCGTACATCCTTCAGGGAGGGGAAGACAAGAGCTGTGCTCAGTCTATAGATAAACGGTGCAGTGTCTTGCCTTTCTGGGAAAATGGCACGTGGTAGATTGTTTTGTGCTTCCTTCAAAAGATCACTCCTAAAAATTTCTAAAGAAAGCTAGCAATTTTTTTTGTCCTTTTGTCTCTCAATTGTTCCTTACTGTCAGCCACCCTTTATCAATCTCCTCAGGTGTTAGTGCCAGTGTTAACTGGGTCAGTCCAAATTCAGCCCAGCTTGCTCTACCAGTCACACAGGGACCTTGGAGCGGAATGTTCCAGGTTTTTTACTCCCTTTTTCTCAGGGATCATGAGAATGTTCTTATGATTTCATGTAATAGGTCTTCCAGTTTCTCTATAAAAATTTAGTCATTGGTCTCTACAGGACTTACCATGGCTATATCACTTGAATTGTCCAAAAGTCATATATCTAGGTTTGTAATCTGGAAAGCACACCACACTTAGTAAATTAACCTAGAATTCTAGACTTCCTATTAACTCTTTTTGGTTTTCAGTATTGAGTACTAAAAACATGTATTATTATTTTTCATTTAATTAGGGGCCATATATTGAAGACAATGTCTGGAAGCTTCTACTTTGTAATTGTTGGCCACCATGATAATCCAGTTTTTGAAATGGAGTTTTTGCCAGCTGGAAAAGCAGAATCCAAAGTGCGTATGGAGCCTTAAAAAAACGCTATGGGTGTTGTGATGATGTTATAATGGTAAAGGTGTGATGTAATCTTACAACCGGAACATATCTAGATGGCCGAGTTCACGGAAGTCCACCTCACTCAACAGAGGCTTGCTCCAGAGTCCCCCCAGGGAATGTTCCCTGAGCTGTTTCTTCAACACCCACTTATTGAGCACATACTGGCTTGATACTTGAGGTCTCTTGTCCCTGCTCTTTGTTTCACCAGGTGACCTACTCTGAAATGCTGCTGCTTAAGCACAGAGAAAGGAGCTCTGGTGGTACAGTGGTTAATGCATTTGGCTGCTAACCAAAGGTCAGCAGTTTGAACCCACCAGCCACTCCACAGGAAAAAGATGAGGCAGTCTGCTTCTGTAAAGATTGACAGCGTTAGAAACCCTATGGGCAACTCTGCTCTGTCCTACAGGGTTGCTGTGAGTTGGAATTGACTCGGTGGCATTGGTTTGGTTTTGGAAAGCATAGAGAAATAGCCCAAACAGTGGGTCTCGAAGAGCAGTCACTGCTGGCTCTTGAGATGCCATGTAAGCCCATCTTGTCCCAGTGGACTTGACTTTGTCAGGATGGACCACACTTAGTCTGCATGTGGGAGGGTTAAAAGAGGACCTGACTTCCTTGTCCTCCTGCTGACACTGTGTCTCCAGAGGACTCCCACAGTGCTTGCTGGCTGGCTGGGGGCTCACCCCCCCCAAGCTGCCATTTTCGGGCACCGGAAACATAAAAAGAGTCGGCACTGAAGGTAATGCCACCCACCTTTCTGGTTGTCAAACATGGTTCCAATAAACCCAGCTTGCTTCTGTTGCCTCTCAGAGGAAGTAAGCCATGGAAGTTGGGATGAGACTAGCCAGGCCCTCCCATCTCTTTATACCTTAGGCCACGTACCTCACAAAGTGATGCTCTTTCTCCTACCTTAAAACATGGGCTGAATGGACCTTAAGATATGAATTGATTTTTTAAAAATTAATGCATAATTGCCAACACATGATACTTTTCAAATAGT